AAAAAAAATTTTTTTCTTTCCTCTTCGAGTGATTCGTACTTACACCTTTCGGAACTCAACAAACTATGAATGTACATCTCGGTAAGTACGAAAAATTACAAAATAACGTTGTGTACGAAAATGTAAAAATACGACCGCAAAATGCTAGGTTATCAGCGAGATTCTGTATAATCGTACGTAACTTACAGGGTAAAGAATATTAAATTACGTTACTACTTTGTTTGACACCACAATGTTTAATCAAGAAAAGAAAAAGAATTGTTTCGTTCATCCGTTTTATACGAAAGATCGATTTTACGCTGTGCATGTGTATACTCACGCATCATGCGTGACTGTTTTACCACTGCCACTGACATCTACATGTCACTAGCAGAACGTGGAGGATTTTGTAGCTTGTAAATCGCGGGATGTAGGTATTTATTTCGTCAATATTTATAGCGCTTAAAGAGTCTCGAGAATAGCTCGTCGTTAAATAATTAAGTTCTATAGACATACAATTGGTACAGTTGAACTTGACAAATCGATACACTGCATTTTAACGTCATTGATATGTCGTTTGAAAATAAATGCCGTATATAACATTTCGTACAAGTGAGAGATTCGTTAGGAGATAAGTCTCATTGATACGAAGTTATCTTTTTTTTCTTTTTCTCTTTTTAGCAAATTTTTACGCGAGGATGGCGCCATATCTGGCTATAGATAATTTGAGATTTATCCATTTGACTTGGAAAGACACTGTATCAGATAAGGGGAGACACAATTATGTTTGGATTGTGATTGGCCACGACCGAATAGGTAGTTTTCCGTGTCTGATGAATAATAATTGTTAGTCATATTTCAGCTCAGCACGGTGAACCATGTTGGTATATAAAGACGGGAAGAAACGGTATATGTATTAAATACCGTACACAATTGCGTATAGAACAATCGTATCGCCGATCGCAGTGAGATACCAGATTGCATCAGAAGATTATAACGGGGTATTTCCTGCAGAATGTAAAGCGCGTAAGTATTTTTTTTTTTTTTTTTTTCTTTTTTAAACTTTTAAAGGACGTTTGTAAGCAGAGCTATGAAAATTAACTTCATTTTTATAATTAGTTTATAAATTGAAATATAGACGTGTCTAATTGTTACACGCGTGTCCCTTACCACGTACATGCTCCTTCGTTTCATCATTTTATATGCCATTTAATTATACATTAATATTCATATAGTATAATTTAGTTTATTTAGTATATTTTTAATATATTTATTATATTATTATATTATATTATTTATTATATTATTTAGTATATTTTAATATATTTAATATTATATTTAATATATTAATATTTTAGTATACCATAAATATTTCATAGATATGCTAATTACTTCAGAATTTGCATTTTCATCTATTCAGTTTTTGATATAAACGCGTGTTAGCAATTTTAATAAACGTGATTTATATGTAATCGAATATGCAACTAATTGTTTTGGTATAAAGTCTAATGTGATTCAGTATAAAAAAAAAAAAATAAAAAAAAAAAAATGGATTTCCATTCTACGTATATTACTTGTGTTTTTATTTGTTACATTGTCCGTCGATGATTTAATAAACATTTATTGTTATTATATTGTGAATGTTTGTGCAAAGCCACATTTTTATGAAATGACACCTATATAGAGATTTTTATCATCCTCTAAATATCATAACGACTACTGTAATTTCGATACTTTATTATATAATTTAAATTTTCCGCAAATGTATAAATATTCATGATCATTTACCTCTAATTAGCGAAATATATATATTTATGCGTATTACATTTGTGAAAGTGTAAGCAAGAGCTTTATCAACAATCTTTAAACAATCATAATTCTATTTGCTTGCAGCTTATTGTGGCGCCATACGTTTAATCTCAACAATATCCCGCATCTATTAATTACTT